TAAGTCGAAGTGCTTTACTCCAACACCGGCCATGTTTTCCTTATTTCATGGTGGTACTATTTCCACAATAGGGTGAGCTGATTAGACGACTCACCCTTTTGTGATTTTTACACTCCTGTAGCAATATTGTTTTTTAAATTCCAACATATTTTCGTCTGTATCTGCTCGTCCTAAAAAAATTCGCACCATGAAACTAAACTTGGTCCATGTACAAGCACTTTGTTCAAGTACTTGAGCTATCTAATATATAACCATTGCTGCCCCGTTGTTTAACTTTTGAGATGCAAATACTTCCATTTACAACCACGCAGATGGGATGGCTGTAGACCGAAACACGAATCCATAAAATAAGTTGGGGTCTTGTTCTTACTCACAGGGAAAACACTGTAGTAAATCCGGACAAAGAAGGAAAATTCAATAGTATCACCTTTCATCAATCACCAGCACACTTACATACCATTCATCAGATACACTCATAGAGAACAACATCCGACGCAAATCAATCTAGGTATACGGGTGGGTAAGGCCTGCAAACCCGTACATCCATCCCGTATTACATACTCCTAATACCAACGCAATTTAGGTATATGGAATTTCCGGTCCAGTATACGTGCACTTTGCTCAAGTACTTGAGCTATCTATTCTCTGACCATTGCTGCCCCATTTCCGAGATGCAAAAACATCTCTTCCGTTAACAACTACGCAGATGGGATGGTCTCTGTTGAGTCGGCAACAGCGCCTAGAGACGTTACCGGTAGACCGAAGTACGAATCCATTAAATAAGCCGGGACGTTGTTCTTACTCACAGTGACACACTGTGGTAATTCTGGTATGAACAGAGTTTTCTCTGAATATATCTGGACAAGGAAGGAAAATTCAGTTATACCTTTCATCCATCAAAGATACCTTTCATCCATCATCATTCAACCCAGCACACTTTTCATTTAACCGACAAACATACGACAGACTCAATGTAGCTATACGGCCGGATGAGTTCCGTATACCACCACATTCATCCTGTGTCATATACAATTAACACCAACTCATTACCAACGCTTATTCCCACAGCCACACCTCTATGGGGTATCTGTAGTTAATCGGCAACAGCACCGAACTTATCCCGAAATATATTTTTCACCGTATCAGTCTTTTAACCGTAACTTACTCTTCCGGCGAATTTGGGTTTAAACCACAGCCACTACATGGATCACAAAGGCACCTCTACCAAGTCAAGTCCTGCGGGAAACTAGCCACTCGTAGCTCCAGATTATGTGGTTCTCTGGTTAGACCCCATGTCAAATCATCCAAGGACTTGCCGAGGAGTGAAATGTAATCACCAGTTTATAGTCACGGCATACTAGAGGTACTGGTAGCAAATCTTTACATCGGGATTGCATGCCCCGTGCGGTCCTCTGCGGGGTATTTGTTGTCTCGGCAATATCATCGAAATTATCCCGAATTATAGACCTTACCATGTGTTAGTCTTTTTACATTTGGGTTTGAACCGCAGCCACCTATACCATAAATGGGACAAGACAAAGTCCGAAACTCTGCCTTGCGTGCTACCAATGCAGACTATAGGTATTAGTATCACCTTTTTTCCCCGGGATTGCAATAACACCAAGATGAGGGTCTTTCTTCAAGGTAACATGCCCATAGGGGGGAATATCTCAGGAATATACATATTTTTTCACCAACATTTTTTTAGTAAAGAGAACGCAAAACTGGCATCGCTCTGATGCAATATACATTCCCATTTCAATCTAATCTTGATTCTTTACCTAGATGGCTTATATTTACTCAAAAACTTCCTTTCAATGGCTGCTACATACTATTTGCATTACTTAGAAGCGGTCAAGTAATAATTTGCAAATAGCTATAAGATTAAGTACTAACTTTTAAACGAAGTATTTTGTACTTGGTTTATGAAATCCGTACATGCAATACCACTACGAATTGACTTTAGTACAACAATCCTAAATTAGAACCATCACCACATACTGCAGGGATTATTGAAGCATATTTGTGTGCGCGTGTGTGTGTAAATAACAGTTTACAAACAAATTAAGTTACAGATTATTACCTGTGCTTAAAAAGCTTTACTCTAAAGAAAAAGTTAAACTATTATTTGTTGTCATACTTTTTTTCACTTTTGTACATTTTCGAAGCAATTTTCTTTTTTACAACAATAAAAAGAAATGATGGTTAAAAAACTTTGAACAATTTAAAATATAAATAAATATACGCTTTGGGATGTTTAAATGTGAGCAAAAAGGACAAAAAGTGGAGTTTAAACTTTGACATTAGACATTGAAAAATTATGTTTCCTTCTTTTATTTGGGGAAAATAAAAAAATCAACGGCAAACTAGACACTATGACAATTCCCTAAACGATATTTATTTGTTGGAAAAAAGAAAACAAAATCTGAAAATAAAGAAACTGAAATTGAACATAAAGTAGTATTTAGCCTATTTAACAAAAAAGAAAACTAAAAGGTGT